ACCCTAGACTCTAAACCCTAAACGCTAAACCCTAAACCCCCAAAACCAGCACAAAGCCCTGAACCGATCCCTAAACCCCCAAACCCTAAACCCTGTAAGCCGACAAGCCCTATAGGGGCCTTATATATTAATTACCTATATTATTTTGGGGGGTTCCTTATTATATATGAGAGTAGAAAGGGCCGCAAAACCCTATTCAAACTATTATAAGGCCCCTACATTAAACGCCTGGCCTCAAACTTGTCAAGTGTTCGCCCGGGGACTTCCCAAGTGCCAGCCTCTCGCCGCGAGATTGGGGGGCCGATGACGATCTCGGATTTGACCACTTCTGCCTGCCAGGACTACATCTCCGTAATTTCGTGTCTGTCTAAGAGCTATACAGGGTTCTATGGGGATGTAATGGAATTCGGGAGTTCATGACTAATAGGATACTACAGGCATGTAGGAACCCTAAACCTCCAGACCTTCGCGGTACAGGCAAAATAGATTGAATGTCTGAGGTGGCAATCTTTTCAATCTAGACCCCCTAACCCTTAAACCCGAAACCCTACACCCTAGACCCCAAACCCTTGTTTGACTGTATAAACTCGCCTCTAAACCCCAAAGCACCGCATATCCCTCGCCGGTTTACATCAAGGCTTCCACGATTTACATCAAGGACACTGGTTCAAGCCCGAAACTCTGAAAATGTGACCATGGTTGTGCTTTCAATAGAGTACCCTAACCCCCCAAGTACCTACTATATGTGTGTGTGTATATATATATATACAAATATATATATATATATATATATATATAGGGCCTTAGGGGCTCTAGTCTAGTACCTCATATAGTAGGTACCTGGGGAGTTAGGGGTACATCGCCCAAACATAGTTATGTAGCGGGTTTCGATCTGTGCTCGAAGGACGTGCAGAGTGTAGAGACTTCACAAAGAAACTTGCGATAATTGCGATGCCTGTAGCCCACAAAACACCATATAACACCCAGGTAAACCCAGCAAGACCCCTTTCAAACAGTTCAGGCAATGTAGATGCCTGGTTAAACTAGGCGACGCATTGTAACACTCCGCATGCAGGATTGAGTCCGCCTCTCCCAGTAGGGCAAATTCTGCAGTTCTCGGCGGCGGGCTTGATGCCGTCTGTCGGCCATCATTTGTGGCCGTATGAGGTCCATCTCAGCCTGCGCTGCTCTTCTCAGGGCTTGAAAGCTCAACTTTAATTTTAAGGATTTCGAAATCGGATTTAAGGATTCCCGGTTTTCGAACCGTCATTGAAAAATCTAGCTTCCCAAAACCCAAAAAAGTCGCTTCAGGATGTACAGATGCTTCATGGTCCGGGTTGAAGGATCAGGCCATGGGATCCCTAACCCCCAGGTGCCTACTATGTAGGGCCCTAGGGGCCCTATTAGGGTTTAGGGTTTAGGGTTTAGGGTATAGTGCCCTATAAAGTAGGTACTGTACCTGGGCGGTTTTTCGGGTCTTTGCGGGCCGAACATCTCAGATCCAAGGCCAAGGCTGTCGGACTTCAAACCGAGGCTTCAGCCCCTAAACCTATACACTTTCCCATAGGCCCTCATAGTCGTTCCTTTTGGGGGATTACCTAATATAGGATCCTAACAAAAAAGGACCTACATAGGCCCCATAGTAGTTCCTTTCGGGGATTACCTAAGGATCCTATATACAAAAACGGACCGACTATGGGGCCTATGGGTAAAGCCTGCAAAACTCCTGAATGCTGAGCTCGATCCTCCAACCTGCCTCACGGCTCTGCCCCTCTCCTCCCGACCCGCCGACCTCTCGTTCCCACATGGCGCGCTCTTCCGGTGTTTCCACCTGCTGTTGAGGGTTTAGGGTTTAGGGTTTAGGGTTTAGGGGTTTAGGGTTTAGGTTGAGTCTAGCAGTTACGAGCCTCGGTTTGTTCGGGCTCTGAGCAACAGCAAATAGAACCCGAACCCAAAGCCCAAGGACATAAATCAATTTCGGTGCAAGGGGAACCTAATTATGGGCTTTTCCCTTACCTTAACCCACCAGAACCTACTTTTTTGTAGGGTCCCTATAAATCCCATATTAGGGCTTACAATAAGACCCTACAAAAAAGATGGTTTTGGTAGGTTAAGGTATAACTTAGGGAACCCCTAAACCCTAAACCCTAAACCCTAAACCCTAGGGAACTTGTTTTGGGAAGCCTGGGTTGCTTGACTTTGGCGCTTGAGGAGCTGAGCCTAGGCCTTCCCTACTTCGAAAGAGCCCAAGCTCCCACCATGGAAGGCATAGGGTTTAGGGTTTAGGGTTTAGGGTTTAGGGTGAAGCCGTCGCCGAAATTCCCAATAAGAAAAGGTCCCAACAAAAACACATGAGACCAACAACAATTCAGGAGCCACGAACATTTTGCTCGCAAAACTAAGAGCCTGCAAGGCTACACCCTACCTCAAGCCAAAAGCTCTATGAACTTGGAGACCGCAGGGCGCCAAATCCCATCCCTCAACCTGTACATACACTACCCGTAGGCCCCCTAGCAGTTCCTTTTTGGGATTACCTAGTAGGATCCTAAATATAAGCCACAAAAAGGAACTTCTACGGGGCCTATGGGTAGGTCGAGGAGTCGGGGGCCTCGTCCAAAACGCGCTGCACCTGGAGTTGGTACTGCTGCGCAGCCCGCTCCTCCCACTGCCTCGTTTGGAGCAGTCTTTCACGTGCTATATATACTGCTTCAGTTGTTGTGACTTTGGCTCGTAAGTGAAGGCTTATTATAAGCTATATATATATATATATATTCATACTATATTATATCATACTATGTTATATATATACACTGGTTAGGTTAGGAGTTAGGAGTCAAAGCTGAAGCTGAAAATAAGATCGGCAGCCACGCACCTCCGCGAGGAAACTCCACGCCGCTGCCGCCGCTGCTCGTTCTGTGGGTCGGGGGTTTCAGCGATCGTTGGGAGTTCATGAGTGGATGTTGCAAGCTATTCCGGAGTAAGGGTTCCTCTTTGCAAACTTACGTTCCAACTTGGAAACTTCACAACCTTTGAACCCGGATGAAATGTCAAGAAACCGTACACCTTGGATCCGTCACCCGACCCTGACCTTCGAACGCAAGAGTGTGTTCTTAGGACAAATCACATCATCAGAAGAAGACGATGATGAAATTCCCTAACCCCCAGGTACCTCCTATTTAGGGCCCTAGGGGCTCTAGTACCCTATATAGTAGGTACCTGGGGGGGTTTGGGATTCGTGGCGACTTGAGCACAGAACGCTGATCTGGCTCGAAGACGTGACGAACAAGAAAATGTGAACCCAAGCGACAACACGGGCGAAGTGATACCCTAAACCCTAAACCCTAAACCCTAAACCCTAAACCCTAAACCCTAAACCCTAAACCCTAAACCCTAAACCCTAAACCCTACTCGTAAGACACTTGTGGAACCTGCACCCGGCGGCGACTGTCGCGGCGGAACCTCAGATCGAAGGGAATGGAAAGACTCCAGAGTCTTTTTGGGTTTAGGGTTTAGGGTTTAGGGTTTAGGGTTTAGGGTTTTGGGCTCCGTGTGGGCCTTTTTCTGGGGTCGAGTGGATGAGAGATCCGGTAGAATTGCGAGTTTCAGCATTCAGCTGGCGTTTAGAGGCCTGACATAAGCAGACTGGGAAGTCTAGGTCCGGCAAATAAAGAGAAACTCAAAGTGCATGTGTCCACTACATCCAGGAATTGTAGCTTGGACGCTTAGACTCATGGTATAACACGCTGTTGCTGTATAGGGGTTGCATTTAGCTAAACCCTTCACTGCCAACACCTATTGCATCTCCTCAACTTTTTCTTATGTTCCCCCAACGAAACCACCAATCAAATCTGATCAGCCCCGTGAAACTCCAACCCCAAGATGCTGCCCGACTTCTTTCCGAACGCGTAAGCCCGCTGGGTTCGTGGCTGTTGCTGCCGTCGCCAGGACCGGAAGTCCTGAAATCGCCGGGTTCGGGTTCTCAAAATACTTCCGACACTGCGGGGGTGTGTCCAGCCTTATGTTCAAGTGCTTGCGGGTTTAAGGTTTACTTGAAGACCTGAAGTTGGGGTTTGATTCAGGAAGGCGGTTTCATTAGGGCCTTGAAGGCCCGATATCAGACGCTTGAATGCTTACAAGGGCGAAACATGAGAAGGGGGTCCAGTTTGTTTGGTCCTTTGGTGGCTCGTTCAGCCGCAAATCACCCAAATACTCAGAACCCAACTACTTTGAAGCTAACCGGAACAAAAACAACAACGGGCCAAACACCGAGCTCTGCAGAATCCCCAAAACGTTGCCTGTCAACTGTAAACACCTTAGCAGCCAAAGCAATGAATCAACACCTCCGCAGCAATCAGGCAAGCTCGTCTACCCGAAGATCAACCCTAACCCCCCAGGTAGGGTACTAGACCACCTAGGGCCCAATATTTTCGGCACCTGGGGGGTTAGGGGAAGATCAATATACCCACAACGATCTCGACCCCCACAACCGCAAAGCCCCTGACAGTAACCCCCACAGCCGCTAAGCCCCTGACAGTAGTACGGCGCCCTTATAAAAAGGACCCTAAAGGGGACCCGAATTTAGAGAACTACCCTAATCCCAAACCCCCCTTAGAGCCATAAGACCTAAACTCAAAAGCCCCGACGCTGCTTAATAATCACCGACACTCTCAAACCTCTAACAGCACCAGAGCAAAAACAGTAAAACTGCAAGCTCTATCAACACCTTGACGACCACCGACTCTCGCAAAACCCAAACATAAACCTCAACACTAGACATTCGAACCATGGGATGCTGCAATACCACCGTTTGCAAAAGCGCATGGGACTAGGATAAGCCCTCGGAGTAAGATTTGCATGACTTACCCTAACCCCCCCAGGTACCTACTATATCGGGTACTAGAGCCCCTAGGGCCCTATATAGTAGGTACCTGGGGGGTTAGGGTTAGGGTATACCGGCCTCACAAAGTCCACGTCAGAATTCTCAGTCCGCATGTGCATGCTTCAGACCGCACATCAAAACAGTGGCTTAGGGGTTTAGGGCTTAGGGCTTAGTTTGAAGTAAACTACCAACTCCATGAGGAAACCCTTGGGAAATGGACAACTTTCTGGATTCGACGCCTCCAGGGTGCTGGGGCTCTTTTTCGGCTCCTCCGTGGGCGTGGGGACCTGCTCTCAATCGAAACTGGGGCTGGGACTTCAGGGCCCAGCATCTAGGGTTACGGTTTCCGGGTGCATTGGGGGCTTACTATACATAATAAGGAGCCCCCCAAAATAGTATAGGTAAAGTATAGGTAATTATTTAAGCCCATATATATATATATATATATGTATTAGGACTAGGAGAAAAGGTTGAGATGCCGGGTCTGTCCAGACATCCCCAAAACTCGCTGGAGTGCGAAGCGGCAGGCTGAGGAGCCCCAAAGTCAACGGCACAGTGGCACGTAGTGTTAGGGTTTAAGGTTTAGGGTTTAGGGTCACAATGGTAGGGACTCTGGTAGCAGTCCTGATCTGCCTTGAACACCTATAACCCTATGTCTTCATTGAAGTCCAGACATCCATCATCCCACACCGCAGTGATGAGTTCGAAACTTTGAGTGGCATAAAAGTCCAAAGCTGAAATCCCTCACGTGCCAAGACAGCCTCAACCCGAGACCTGAAACTCCCAAGCCCTGAATCCCAGCAGGTTATGTGGCCACACTCCCATGAGTCCCAAGCCCCTCCACACCCACACACCAACAACACCAGAATGTAGGGCCTAAATAGTTACCAATGACTATTTTTGAGGGGGTTCCTTATTATAATTGTGGTATCATGGGCCCCAAAAACCCTAATCATTCTCATGATTCAGGCTCTTATGATTACACAAAGGCTCGGCACCCCTGGACTCCTGCCCCCCTTCCCAAGCCTACCAAAAGCTGATGCTTCATCAAGCAGTAAACTCTCTTCGTCAATAAGCGAGTCCAAAAAAGGTTTGAAAATCCAAAATAGTTTAAAGTTCTCCCCTTGGCGAAGTAAGTAAAAGCCTTTCTGAAACCTCGGGAGGCTTCGGAGCTTCAGCTTGTGGCCACTCAAAGGTTCTCCGACTGTGGCTTCATCAGTGGAGTTTAACACACTGTATAAGAAACAGTCACCAGCATAGGCCCGGATCAAGTCGACCCACAAACCAACCCACC